TTAGCGCACATATTTCAATGGGCCACAAGAGTCTTCAGTCTTAATATATCCCATGGATGGTGATAGTTCTGCAAAACAAGAACCACATTGATATTTCTAGTATAGTCTTTTTTAATGCGGAATCAGTGGTAAAGTGGCTTGCACACTGCGAGAGGAAACGTGTGACCGGCAGTACGATTCCAGGCAATTGCTAACGGTGGCGAATGATGTCTGAGCCTATCATTTAGGCCCTCCTATCACTCACCAATCTGCATTGGCCAATGTGGTGAAGTATGGACAACACAAACCACATGACCGACATCGCAGCATCAATCAACAAGGTGAATTGACAAAGAGCTGAACGTCATGATTTCCCACTTTTTGCAGTTGGTTGTTTCATTGGTATGTACAACAGTGCTTTATAGAACATATAATAACACTGAGGCACCGCGATGGCAGTGGTGCACAAACAGCAAAAAAACGGAACAAAATGCGTCATTAAATGCTGCCGTCAAAGGAAAAAAATATATAATAGGCAACGTTGCTGGCGCCAAGAAGGGTCATTGCCTGAAACGTCGTGTTTTGCATATTCAGTGCGAGAGCAGTGTTGTTGACGAATGCGTTGAGTTTGATCACTTTATATGAATGACTATGGCACACAATTTAAAATCTAACACAACACAGAAAACAAATTGGAAGGCCTGCCATAAAACAATCTTTATTTCCCTTTCAACAAAACATACAAAACACGGCGCACCTTTAAAAAAATGTATTGTCTAAATCAATGTTGCAAGCCCTTAATAAAACAGCTTAAAATAACCGAGACTGCATCCAGTGTCTTTTAAAAAAAGGGTAAAGTGACATTGCATTTTCTAATGTCATGAACAAACATGTGAAGATGTGATATACATTCTGGTCAAATCTGGCTTGACAGTTATGGTTAATGTATTATGCACCCAGAGGGGCATACCAATCTCTGGTGTTTGGACAGTGTTGAGTATGAAAATAACGATTACATTAATGTTCACATGTAGCATGGTAACCGCTACACAGAGTAACATGATGCAGATTCCCATTTGGGTGTTTTTGTACTTCGAGAGTTATGTTACATATATGAGTATGGTATTTCATCAGAGGGCAAGTTAATCAAAATCCATTGTGTTAATGTCCTATGCTGCAATGTCTCGGCTCGTCGTTTCAATCAAAGCACGCTCACCAGCGTGGTAAAACGCAGTCATATAACCACCACGACCCGCGAGGCATGGCGAGACCCTCATCCAGCAGTAGATTTGACAAAATGGCTATACTTGTACACATATGCAGACCGCAATATACAAAACTTCCTCCACTGACATACAAGTCACGGGCTGGCCAAGGCAGAATCACGTTTCAAGTTCAATTGTTGCGCCACCTTTTTACAGGTAACCCTAATAAGGTGCCTATCACTTGACCCCGTTAAGGTTTGATTTATACATGTATATATATAAAAATGTATTTTGGTAATGTGTATATAAATTACCAAAATACAAGGTAAGTTTCAGTAAGGAGCACAAAACGTTTTATTTTTAAAATATATTAACCTGAACCACAATGATTCATTATTGATTTTTGGGCCAAATAGCCACGCGTGAGTAAAATGCCAGTGTCTGTCGTGCACCCTCCTCCACCCGACACAGGTAAACAAATTAAGTTGTCACTTGGACAAACATGCCAATTTTTTATTGTCAGCACACTCGGGGTGTGTTGGAGGACACTCCTCACACATTTAACAAATTACGCCACTTAACCCAAAACTCGAATATGAATCATATTGGCGATGAAAGCCCTGCGTAATTAAAAAAGCCTTTATTTTTTCTTTCCAATAGAATTTATTTTACAAGCTACATTGCCAGGGACAATCAATGGCTATCTTGCTGCAGCAAAAGGGAACTGTGTATTTTCCTAAAACCAATTGCTGGGTTTCAGTTCACTTTTTTTTTCAATAAGTTCCTGTTTATTCACGTGAAAATCATTTGGAAACGCAATCGGGGAGATAATATATACACATCCTTAAACGTATCCCACCTTCAAGCTGCATACATTTTTTTTATGGCGTACTGTATCATATATATTATTGGTTCTTTCGGTAAAGTCACGTAGAAGGGAAGCAATAAAATAATAAAATAATAAACGTTAACGTTTTAAAAAAACGCCACTTTTTTCAAATTTTCTTGCTGTGGTTTTCACACCTGATGATGATTCCTTGTGTTGCAGTCGAAACGTCGTGAGAATTTTATTGTTTTATATTTTTATTATTTTATTGTTTCCCTTCTACGTGGTGACTTTACCTAAAGAACCAAGAATATGGATCCCTGCAGTCACAAAAGCTTTAAATTGAAATGTATCATATATGTTTAGCTTTTGTTGAATAAATGCACTGAGCACAGAGTGAAGAGGTTTTAAATTCATGATGGATTTCCTCCATTTACAATAATGCTTCCATAAAAATCAGCGAGTATAAGAACAGTACGGTACATGGACGTGCACTAACAGTAGCCCTCAAAGTTCAATAATTCTGAATTAAAGACATTTTTATTCAAATAAGTAATTTCTCCTACTCTTGCATGGAAACCCAGTGTATGATTGCGTGGGGAGCAATATAGCAGTTTAACGCGTAAGCTTTCGTGACCAATATCATCCATAACACAGGTTTTTTTGGGGGTTAGATCGCGTAAAAAAACAGCTGTATTATATAAATACAGCCGTGTTATTTATTACAAACACCACGACCTGGACTCAAAGCCAGAAAATCTCAATCAAGATTTGGGCAGCGTGTTCAGTCCGTGTGAGTCCTCGCGCCCGCCGTTCACAAGTTAAAACATCCTACAATCGGTCACTATATTCACGACACACTTGGCTGGGAAGCAATCACTTCCTTCCCCCTTTCGCTCCCGACGGGATGCACCGCTCATCACGGTGGCTGCCCCCCCCCACCCATCTAACGGCAGGCACTTCATTCATGGGGGAACGGCCCACTCAGCTGTTGGCTTTCTGGCTCAAATGAGAGGGGCAGTGTGTCCTGGTTGAGCGGGATTTTCAGCCTGGATAGTGCCTGGATGTGCGGCCACCATGCATACGGCTGTTGTAGGGATGCTTGTGGGTCTATGTTGTCAACAGAGGGCGGTGCAACAAAAAACATAATGAATGTACGGCAATGTCATTTGCTCCGCGCCTTCGCCAACCCCCGCAACTCACCGGCATGGTGAAGTATGGGTCAGATGCCCCCCCCCCCCCCCACCATAACCCAAACAGCGTGGGGAGGTCCTCATCCAGCAGTGGATTGACAAAACATCTGCGTATGCACGTACGTCGCGTATTGCCTTGTGGGGAGTTCGGTCCATAAATTAGGTGTTTGGTTGTGTAAAGTATTACCCACGGTTAATGAGTAACTGCCAATTACCTTTTCAACTTTAGCCGTGACGTCACCATGTTGGTGGTCTCTTCTTAGCGAAGTGTGTCGAAGAATCATTTGCGAACACATAATACAGACACGGTTTACAGCAACTCAGCACGATTTACAGCAACCTCCACTTTTGGAAGTCTACAAATTCCGTCTGGGTTTTCATTTTTTCTTTTAGGTGGAATGTAGAAAGGCAATGGTAAAGGTGCGGCCCTGCAATTCCTTGCTCGCACAAACTCTGCCAGGAGGACACTCAAGAGAGTGTCCCCCTCTGGAGGGAATTTGGCCTTCTCTTCCACGGCGGCCAAGACATCTGGGAGTAGGTGGGAGTACATCCACACTTCCTTATCGCGTCTTAATTTATTTAGCGCCTTCACTAAGGCGCCGAAGAAAGGATTCGCTGTTTGTACAGCGGAATAGTGCGATGAGATGAGTTGATGAGGATGGTAGTCCATGATGACTACGATGCGTGAAACAAACGATGATGAGAGTGACAATGAGTGGTTCATGATGAGTGAGTGTGGTTCATGATGAGTTAGAGTGGTTCATGATGAGTGAGAGTGGTTAATGATGAGTGAGTGTGGTTCATGATGAGTGAGAGTGGTTAATGATGAGTGAGTGTGGTTCATGATGAGTGAGAGTGGTTCATGATGAGTGGTTAATGATGAGTGAGTGTGATTCATGATGAGTGAGAGTGGTTAATGATGAGTGAGAGTGGTTAATGATGAGTGAGAGTGCTTCATGATGAGTGAGAGTGGTTCATGATGAGTGACAGTGATTCATGATGAGTGACAGTGGTTCATGATGAGTGATTCATGATGAGTGAGAGTGATTCATGATGAGTGAGAGTGATTCATTATGAGTGAGAGTGGTTCATGATGAGTGAGAGTGATTCATGATGAGTGAGAGTGCTTCATGATGAGTGAAAGTGATAAATGGGTAGGGGGAAGTTGGGAATGATGGAGAACGGAGGGGAAGAGGAGTTTGGGTAAGTGAGGGAAAGTCGGTGAGTGTTGAGAGAAGAACGACACACGACCTGCCAATCAACTAACTGTAGGTTACCCATCTATCGTGTGGGTGGACAGAGGTGGGAGAGGGGCGGGGGGGGGGAGCAGATTTAAGAGACTTGCCTTCTTTCTACTGCCCATTACCATGTGGGGAGATCCAAATGGTGACCTCTGGATTTTAATCAAAGCGTGCTAGCCATTATGCCATGGCAGTATGCCTCAGGTGACATGTACAGGTGAATGGAGTCGCTGCAATGCAACAGCAGCCCTCTGCTATCACCGTCAGCGCTCTCTCCATCAGAAAGGCACATTCTGTCCAAGCAGAGCCCCAGGAGAACCGGTGTGACGACAGCTCAGCACTGGTGCAGCATTTCGATTTAAAGCTTTCGTGACTGCAATGATTCATCTTCTTTGGTTCTTTCGGTAAAGTCACGTAGAATGAGAATAAAATAATAAATTGATAAAATAAAATAACACAATAATATTCTCACGACGTTTCGGCCACAACCTCCAGCGCTGTCCTACCAGACAGTCTCGTCCCTTCACCTGATGAAGGCAGCTTGTGTTGTGGCCGAAACGTCGTGATAATATTATTGTGTTATTTTATTTTATCAATTTATTATTTTATTCTCATTCTACGTGACTTTACCGAAAGAACCAAAGAAGATGGTGCAGCATTGTCATCATCAACGGCATCGCCTTCGCGTTCGACAGTAGAACCCGACCATCGAACCTTCCGGTTTCAACCCTCCACGCCGCCAATGGTCGATCGTCAACGAGAATCGGGACCGGGAATGGCCGATGCGGCCACCTGACGCACAAACGGCGCGTCAAAGATTCGGCGGCCTGCGAGTGGTACGGCCACGAATCCCAAACCATCGACCGCATCGTGAACACTCCGCCACTGCCGCTGCTGCTGCCTTCACTCCTTTAAAGGAGGAGCGGCTCGAGATCCGCTCTGCGTCTAAACAGACAATTGAGTGGCTAACAAATCTAACATTACATCTTTAATCCGCTGTTATTAATCCACACGAAAGAAGATCACCTTGACATTACGACTGTGAGATGAATCCACGGACACGTGTCTCCTGAGACTTGAAAACGCGAGGCGGAGTGTAAAGACTCCCAAAACGGAAGCCACGAGCCGACGGTGGAATAATAATAATTTATACGTGCAGTACCCTACACAAGATATACTTTACAGTACCCGTATGTACATTTTTACACAGTGAGTGGTGGCATTTGTGATTGCAGTGTACACTGTTTTGAAAACTCTTCATTCCATTAAGTCAAAACACACGCAGATTTCCGCCTTGGACCTTCACTGAGCGAAACACAAAAATGATCGCGGAGCAATTTGTTGCGTGAGTGTTTGTCACACAGCGCTGCATGGCTCCCCGCAGTCGAGAAAGTCCTCAATGCGCAGGTTTCCAATCCCCAGGGCCCGGCTTGGCGTGTTGCTCCGTGGTCGGCTGACGGGCGGATCCGCAAAGCGCACGGTCGAGCTTTGAACACAAACGTTCAATATCATCATCATCATCACCATCGCTATGGGTGGGACTGATATAAGCGCAGCTCTGATCACACCATCGCTGCTGGAAGGGCCTCGCCTAGACGAAGTTATTTAAAGCGCATCTAGAGGCTAATTTGCCTTCTCCTCATGCAAGACATGCCAATCCACGGTGGTATACCCATTTATACTCCCGGGTGGAAAGAGGCAGTGGGACGCCGAGAGACCAAATGGAAAAGGTGACCTGTGGATTGCGAGTGCAGTGTGCAAACTATTGCACCACGGCAACATCCACTGTTATGAGTGTGACATCACATTTTCCGTGATCAACTGATTATAATTTTGTATTACTTTCTTTCAATTTGATTCCGATCGTGCTATGGGCATCATGTAATGAGACAAATGCTATCGCAGAAATAATTGTGGCATCGTTTCAAGTAACCTTTTATCTTAACACTAAAGGGTGTACTTCCCCACACAGCCTGAAAACATGTTTCGTCACGTGGCAGTCAAAGCAATGTTTTTCAATTCTCAGGCCCAGAATTTTACCAATTAAGTACTAAACTAATTTGATGATGATGGGGATTTTTGTGTAGTTATTGATTATTGGGCTGGTGCCTTCAACTCACTAAAGCAGAGAGCATGGTCTAAGCACAGGTGGCTAGAACTTGAATTTGAGTTCAGGTTTACAGCGATGCTGGCTCAGTACTCTGCCTGGCTGATAATTCAATTGAAGTGCTAGGGAATGTATGTACGTATGTTGAACTTCTTTCGCGCCGTACGTAGCTAATCGTGCTGATCGGAATGATAGTGGGCACACACATTTTCTGTGATTATTCACTAACAGGAGCAGCAGAACAATAATGTTTTGAGGGGAGGAACAGCCATGCCTGATTAGCACGGGTGACTACGCACGGTGGGTGGATGAGGTGCCTGGCGTGATCCTGCAGATCACATGACTCTGCAGTCATCAGGCTGGTACCATGCCACAGAACATCAAGAATATGACAGCTACAACGCCCCTCCATATTGTACATGCTGTCTGTATAGGATGTATATTATTACTAAATACATCAAAAACTATTTTCCTCTAAATTTGCATATGACCCAAGCGACTGAAAATGCATAAGATAATTACTATCTGGATAACATCTTCTGTCATATTGACTGGATACACGCACATCTGGAATGTGTCCAGTCTTGTCAGATCATAGAAGCTAAGCAGATTGGAGCCTGTCTCATGCTTGGATGGGTGTTATAGGATGTGGGACTATGTGGTGGGAAGCATAGGACAGTAAAGACAAATCCATACTTGTACTGTATTTATATGCTCCCACGTTTTTGCTGCCTGCCTTCACCAATCTCCACTGACCAGTATGGTGAAGTATGGTCAAATATCTCTCACAATCTGCACAGCGTGGAGAGGCCCCCATCCACCAGCAAAAATGACCTCCCAATTTATGTCGGGGAGGAATGTGCTTGGGCTCAACGATGGCCTGACACACACTCTGGTGCTGAACTTACAAACACTATAAACGAAACGTTTTAAATATTTTACCAGGTAAGAACCACTGAGCTCTACAGCTACTTTTTTTCAAAAGCGACCTGGCCACAAATGATAGCTCAATGAAGTGGCTCATTATGTGGAAATGTATAGCAGCCAAATACTCTAAAACGCATGTTTCTAAATGTGGAAGGAAAACCGGAGGACCCCAAGAACATGCAAACTCCAAATATACAGGCGTCAGGGTAGGGATCGAACCGACAACCTCATGTACACCAGGCGAGGGAGTAAACAATCTCTCCACCGTGACGCCCACGTCAGCAGAGCCTATGGGGTGGCCCGGTGGCTCAGAGGTCATAGCATTGAGCTGGCACCACTGAGATTCTGGGCAGCCGCAAGTAACTAAACTGGATTCTCAAGTGCAGTGAGTCACCATTGATTGCAAACGAAAAAAGCTTCTCGTACAATGATTTTGCTTCGAGCGTAATTTGGTCGTGGGAATTCAAATATTAGCGTGGCTGTTCTGCGATGAACGTTTGTCTCAGTGGCAGGGCGTGTGTCATGAAGCACTGCCGTCTACTGTGTGAATCTGAGGTCACTCGAAGGGATCTCTGTGACACCTGCACTCCTCCGCATGGGATCCGAATGGCTATTTCATCTCATGACGCTGACAGCGCAATCGGGAGGAAAATCGGGGGTGATTTTTTTTCTTTTTAACCATCAGCCTCACCTCTTCTTGTTGAAGAGCTTCCGCAGGGAGTCCCTCAGCCCGAAGCGGCCGTCGTCGTTCCTCGCCGGCCGCTGTTGTGACTTTCCACCCCGCGTGGGAGTGGCCGCGAGCGCCGCCCCGTCGCCGCCGTCCGCGGCACACCCCCGGCCGTCCGGCGCACGCTGCCCCACGGGATCCGGGTCCACATCGGCCACGCACATCGAGACGTTCTCCGTAGTCCGGCTGCGAGCCAGGGAGCGCGCGAAGCGAGACTGCGCGTAGCCGTGGTCGCTCTCCAAACGCGCGAGGATGTCTTCCTCCGACACGCCGCACCTCGACAGCCGCCCGGCCAAATCTCCGTTCCTCGGCGGCGGCGGCCTCCGCCTGGATGTGACTTCCGCGGGGAAGCGGAGGCGGCGGGTGCTCTCGCCGTCCGTCCCGTCCCCGTCGCCTAGCACGCCGTAATCGGCGCGCGGCGGAGAGACCGCGGCCCGAGCCGGCCGAGCCGAGGTCGCTTCGAGACTCGAAGTTGACGAGGCGTCATCGGACTGGAAGTCGAGAATCGAAGCGTCCCGCATGGAGTCGTCGTCGTCCGCCTCGTCTTGCGGTCGTTTCGCGCCCGTGCCGCCGTTGCTGCGATCGCCGGGCAGCATTCTCGTGGGGGTCCTCGCGCCGACTCGGCTGCTCGCCAGCAGAAAGGCCCGGCTCTCCGTGGGGTTGCCGCAGCCGTTTGCGCTTGCGGAGTTCGGCTCACGAGCTGGCTGAGTCCTCTCCTTGGAGCGGCTGACTGCCGTGTGCCTGTGGCGTGTCCTCGTCTTCTCTGCGGCCCGAGTTTTGCAGGTCTCACCTCCTTCATACGGCAAAGCAACCTGGTGTTGCTTGAAATTCTTGGTAGATCTGTCCATAGCAACAACAAATATTTGTTGCGTTAAAGTGGCACAAATTTCCCCCAAACAACCGTCGCAACTCCAAGCCATCCTGTGTCTTAGCCACTCCCCCCCACACCCTCTCCTCCTCTTTAACCTACTCTCACGTTTTTATTTTAAGAAAAGAACGGCCACCCCTATAACATACCAACGATGAGCTCTGTAAATAAGGACGTGTACGACCTATGACGTGTGAATAAATACAACTTTTTTTCATTGTACACAATGCATCGTGACTCACTCTTTGCTGCTGTGCAATTTATTAAAAGTACATACAGCACAATATTATTATAGGTTGGAATAGACGAAAAGGTTATTGGCTCAGAAGACCTCTTTCCACCGTCAAGTGGAAAACAAGCACTCTGTGCAAAGCCTCCTGCTGGAGATGCATGGAATTAAGTGGCATTGACAAGTGAAAGTACGCGGTCAAATACAGTGCAATGCTCCTTCACATGTTGTACAATGTAAATATATTATCAGCCATGTGGCACATATTTGCTTCAAGTAAAGTATGGCAAACCGGAGACGAGATACATTTATTATTTATTTGTGATATATCTGATAATTACATAGATTGGTGCCAGAAAGATGTGGCACTACTTGAGCATATTGGCACATGATAGGGGACAGTGGAAACATTACGAAATGTGCAGTGGACACCTACGGACTATCTGCCCATGGATCGTGATGATGATGATGAAGATATATCTGCCAGTGGTTTTAACAATGTGTAGATTAACAGCGCATGGAATAGGTATGAAAGAGTAAATGTTTTCCGTATATGTTGCATGTAATTGGTTCACGTGACCTTTCCATCCGCCAGAGGTCTCTACATTAACCACAATATAAAACGTGTAACTTCTGTCATTGCATCACAATAGGTCATTGCAGTGCAAGGGCGACTAATCATCCCTGTTTGCTAAATATCTCTTCTGCTTTTCAGAATGTCCTTACCTGGCAAAATTAATAGTTTAATAATGATTATGGGGGGTGGGAAATGAGCCATGCCACTTTGGCTGCGGCGTGTCGAAAACAATCCCCAGGGTTGCGCCCGTTCCGGACCGTTCCGGCTGAACCGAGGCACGGAGGAGCGCAGTGGCGCGGGGGAAGGGGGGGGAGGAGTTCACCTGCACGCCTGGCTGGCGGAGGAGGAGGAGAGCGAGCCGGGCTCCTCGGAGTGGACGCCGCTGTCGGCCGTCACCTCGCTGCTCACGCTCGGCAGGGCGTCCGTGCTGCTGCAGCTGGAGCGCGGGGACAGCTCGGGCGCAGCCGCGGCTGCCGACGCGGCGGCGGCAGCGGCCACCGCCCCGGCAAACAGAGCCCTGAGCGGGGGGGACAAGAGGACAAGCGGTGAGGCCGCTGCCGGCTGGGATGGCTCGTCATGAGCGGGTGGCGAGGCCTGGGGCCCCACTCGTGAAATAAAACAAAACAAAACTGTAGCAAGACTCACATGCACATTATAAACATTATACACTGCATACGCCCCCACTCCCTCCAATATATTTACCCACCGGGCTGCTACTGGCTGAGACCCAACCAGATGTGCGCCCAATGAGGAAAGCTTCCAACTGGCTTCTTTGATATTTCAGTTTCTCTTTTTCAAACATTATTCTCACATCTAAAACCCTCGAAAATCAGTGTTCTGCATTGCAAGGCCCGCGGGCCACTGGCGGCCCCTGGTGACCTTTACGGCGGCCCCTGAAGTGCGACCCCGAACAATACATAAGTGTGAAAACAGCCCATCGTGCAGTCAAACCCAATGGTTTCCAGTGTGCGGCGGCCCTCACACTGGTGTCTAATCGGCGAAAGTTGCCGCCCTCTGAAAATTATTGAAGAGCACTGCTCTAAATGAACTGTCTAGAACTACCTTGAGCAGAGGTCCTTCTGCTAGCAGCAGGGGCGGAGCCAGGATTTTGACTTTGGGGGGGCTGACTTCAATATTCTGAGATATCCAGTGTAATATTTTCCAATGGGCGCCACAAATGTATAAAACAAATTTTATTGGATTTGAACGCGGAGTTTATTAATAGGTCGGAGCCGCTGATGTGGCTAATAAGTTCGATAAGTTCGAAAGGCTGCCGCTCATGCAGCCTGCAGGGCAGCACACAAGGTGACAAGCCTGTAGGGCAGCACGAGGTGGCAGCCTGCAGGGCAGCACAAGGTGGCAGCCTGCAGCATTTTGCAGCAGCCGGATATCAGGTTATCCCGATTACCGACTTCCCAAAATTTCAGGGGGGGCTGAGCCCCCCACCCCCCAGCCCCCCCCCCCTGTGGCTCCGCCCCTGGCTAGCAGTGGTGTGAGCAAAACAATTTCAGAGCTGCACGTTTACCTTCTTAGTTATTCCAACTGGGATGGGAGTGGTGGGGCAGTGGATCGAACACTGCGCTCAGAACCTAACGGTGTGAATTTGATTCCCACCCATGGTGAAAATTAGTGCCAAATAATATTACAACTGGTTCTGGGCCAGTTCAGATATAACCAACCTACACTGACCACTGTGGTGAACTCTGGTCAAACAACGTCCATGAGTGACAAGATGTAGATAGCACTGGGATGACATAATTAGTAGTCTATGATTATTTTCAAATTATGCCGCTGGCATGCTGTTATGAGATGAAGAAATTTACATTTTTGCAAACTCTTGCAGCTACCAGTGCACCATCCTGTGTCTAATACGCTTAGAAGATGACATCTAAGTAATTCTGATGTCTCTTCATCAGGCCTCTTTTACCCATACTCGTGGCACACTTTTAGCGTCCGGCAAAGAGTACACACCCCATTTCAACCAACACTGGAGTAAACTGAATAGAATAAAACAACTAATTAATACTATGACTTTTTTTTTGCACAGGCTGAGTGAGGCCATCGACTCACTCTGCATGAGGACCCAGTTTAACCACGTGTGGCTGAAACGTGGACTCGAATGCAGGACCAGCCCCTTGCTCTGACACAGGCCGCTTACTCCAAAGTAGTTTCTCGAGCAGTGAAGAGGACTGAAGTGCTCACTGCTCTGTGCTCGGACAAGCTGTGTTTAATTGAGGTTGCCGAAGTCTAATCCTGACAACTACTGTTTGCATCTGGACCTGATTATCCACGCGTGAATGTGCGACAAAAGCTAAGCAGAAACGGTGGCTCCTCCCCTCTGTGATTCTCCCATAGTTGTGGAGTTTGAATCGGCTTCTCCTGTAGCCCTGTAGACAGCAGACTCCCTACAAGCAGACCACTGTGTAGGTTTTCACGGTGTGTGTGCCTTTTCAGTTTGCACCGCATGTTATATGGCACGATGTCCGACGCTTTGCTCTACGCCCGGGAGCGAAACATCGGACATCATGCTCGATGGTACAACCCAAAAATCACATTGAGAGACTCCGCAAACGTACTGTCTATTTTCTGTCAGAAGGTCACTTAATAACAAGGGCAGGAAGGTTTTTCTCTCAGTCTCATGCAGATTTTTCGGAATGTTGCCAAATGTAGTGTAGGTGACGTCTCGTCAAGTCATGAAAGTTGTGAGTGAAGCTGCCAAAATCATATAGAGAGTGAAAAATGAATTATCAGCGAGTGGCAACTCTCAACAGCAACTACAAAAACAACACAATTCGTGCAGTTCCAGTACATTTTATGTTACATTGCGAATTCCAAAAGTGAGCACAAATTCTAAAACGCGGGTCAGAGGGATAGTGTAGCGGTTAGCGCTATGGTGCGCTACGAACCTGGCGACCCGGGTTCGATCCCCGCTCACGGCCAACACCAGTGACGATTATCTGAACCGGTCGTGGGCCACCCCTCGGTCGACTCAGCCTCAAATGAGTACCTGGTGCGGTGTGTAGTAAACATCACCACTAGGGAGACAAAGGCGGCCGGGCGTGGTGTTGGCCACCCACCCCCTCGTGTGCCGTGCCGGCCTTCATAGGTGCTCGCTAACAGCACTTGCCCCGACAGTCTGTTATGGCTATACGGGGGATCTTTGTCTGTGCCATTGAGAATGCAAAAGCTCCCTCCTTCCGCGAACCCAACTGGGAATTGTTTCTACGAGCGACGGTGTTACAGATAAAGAATCCACGCCCCCTGTCACTCCCATAGACACCCCCCCGCCTCCAAGCCCTGCATGTGATGATAACAAATCCTGGGGAAGATGGAAGTTAGAAACAGGACGCCCAGTATATACAAGACAGGAGATGCAGAACAGAACAGACAGGTAAGTATCCATAAGCTGTGTCCCCATCAGCTCAGTACGTAATGGTAAAAGACCTCTGGTAAACAAAAAGATTCTCGACAAGGACTGAATTTTAAAATAAAAATTTTTTAGCATTCAGCAGCACCATCTGGAGAAACACCTCTGTGTGAATGCTGAACTTCTTTCGCACCATACGTAGCCAACCGTGCTAATCGGAGGTGCCGGGGGGACGACAACAAACTAAACACAAAAAGCAGCTCTAAAGAAGTGAGTTTTCAATCTAGATTTAAAAGTGCATAGCTCCAGTGGTTTCCTTTCAAAGAGATTGGACTGCTGATGGAAAAGACACTTTGCCAACACTGCACAATTGGCATGTAACGATGCATCGATTCCTGGACTACAATCAGTTGTTTTGCGTGTGATATATATGCGTGTGGTCATGTGTTCGAAAATGTACGATTTACTATTCATGAAAATTACAAGCAAAGCATATGCTCATGCTACATTTATGCTAACGGCGTGAAAAAGACAAACAGCACAAACGAGATGGGCAAAACACACAAGATCGTACAAATGACACGTAACAATTTACACATTATAACTGGGACAGAGTGTACAAATGTGGCAATACAGGGGACAGACAGAACCGTACGGACAGTACACATGTAGCAGTGGATAAAGGAGATTACAAATATGATTTTTTAAATATATTTTTTTTACCAAATAATGACCCAGAATCATGACAATGCATTCTTGATGCTGCGTTAACACAGCCATTACAAAGCACACCAGAGACATGCCTTTCTTGGTATAGCCGAGTGCGTCTCATTTCATGACCCTCGGCTTCATGGCCAAGCAACTCCGTGGACCCGGTCTCTGTCCCTCGCTAGGGCCCGGCTACTCTCTCACAAATTAAGATTTATTCATTTTGCAATTTTACGCCGTGCGCTTAAAACATAAACGTGGCCCTGGAGTTTACCCATGTGCACGGGACACGTACATCATCCTCCCGCATTTGAATCCCCCCCCCCCCCCCGTTTGGAGCCAGGGCAGATGGGTAAAGGCTGGCATGGGAATTCTGGCCAAGCCCACTAATCCCAGGTCTAAAACAATTTTCTTATTTCACCAGGTAAGGCCTCCACTGAGCTCTATAGCTCTCTTTCAGAAGCAACCTGGCCACAAATGATAGTCCAATGAAGTGGCCTATCATGTGGATATTTATAGCAGCCAAATACTCTAAATGCATGTTTTTAAATGTGGAGGGAAAAACCAGAGGACCCGGAGAAAAATCCATGCGACCAGAGGGAGAGAGAGAGAATATGCAAACTTCAAATATACAGCAGGCGTCAAGGGCCGGGATCGAACCTACGACCGGGGGTAGGTAACATCTTTCCGCCGAGATGTCTGCAAAACCGAGCTGGCTCACTTTCGTGGGTATCCGCGGGGAAACGAGGAGCGAGCTCTAATTTCCCACACCGCTGGTCACCTGCGCGTGACGGGCGTCTGCCGCTGCGCTGGGGCACACGACCGTTCGCTCGCGAGCGCCTCCACCTGCTGCTCCAGGCTCGCCTGCCGCTCCGACACCTTCCGCAACTGCACCGCCACGTCCGCCAGCTCGTCCTACACAACGGGGGGGGGGAGAGTCGCGTCGGTGATGATGCACACGGCTGCTCAAAAACAAACGGGCTCGGTGAATGGTTGCGCTGGCCAGCAGTACCGAGAGAGAAAAAAAACATGGCCACAAACTCGATGTAAAACCCCGTCAGTGGGACGAGAATCTGAGAGCTCACCCTGGTCGTCGGGTGTTGGCATCGAAATTTCTGAAGAATTTGGTAGAAAGAAAGGAAGCGATGGTGAGGTGTGGCTTGACCCAACAAAGCCTCACTGAATGTCAAAATTATATTTTTCAGGAGAGTGCTGCATGCATGGGGATGCTTGGCCAATGCCATTATTTAGTGGCATTGTCAGAATGAATTGGAGGACACTGGAAAAGTAAAAATAAAATAATTAGAGGTTAACACAGATAAAATCCAGGAACCATTGCTGTGGCTTCCATCCCCTTGCTACCTCACAGCCCAAGTCTACACCAACCGATGCTCCGAGGCAGTCTCCAATCCAAGTAATAATAATGCCCATATCCGGTTATCTTGAAGACATATAATAAGCTTAGTACATTAAGAGTGAATCGGTTGATTTTCTTATTCCCCTTTCGTAAAGGGCAACGAATCTGCGCCGTGTTTACAGGGCAGCTGGAACGCCACGCAGTGCACGGGCAGTCACGCTGGCTGGCTGCCCGGGTGGCTGGCTGCCCCTGGCGCTGTGCTAATGCGGGCAATGGGGGAGGCACCTTGAGCCCCAGCAGCAGCTCCTTGAGCTGCTGCGTCTGCTGGGCGCACTCGGCACGGTCGCGCTCAATCCTCTCCTCCAGGTACGAGTCCCCGTATTGGATCCGAGCCAACTCCTGGACGGCGCCCGTGAAGCCCTCCTTCAGCTCCGACACCAGCGTGTGCAGCTGCAACCCAGCCCAGCGGAGAGGAAAAGAGGTAAAGAAGCGAGAATTGTTTTTGTTTTCTGTATTTTTGTTTTGTTTCCCCAATTGTCTTCCACCTGGCTCCCATCTGCCTCACGTGACGATATTAAGCATCGAGCGATGCCATCACTCCGTGTGGCAGAGAATGGATCACAGTGGGAGATTTGGTGGGGTGCAATGGATTCAGCATTTCAGTTGCCCATCTCCCCCCCCCCTCAGTCGAAGCTAATGTTGCAACCAGTGGTGACCGAATTATGTAGAGTTGGAACAACTCGTAGAGTTGAAACGCACATGCTAAACAAATAAGTAAAGGCCATAGTGGAAGACTCCCGTAGAAAGTCTTCTGAAATGCCTACGAGTGACATTTTTAAGAAGCACACGAAGGGCTGCACTTTCCTGTGTACCCTGCTAGAAATAAATGTCACATGACAGTCAAACCAACATATTTTAGTTCCCAAAGCTGGAATTCAACAAATTAAAGGAAAACAAAATAGAATGTAATAGGATTTCATTGGTGACCAGACACAAGCACTGCTTCCCCCCAATGTTCCGTTTGGAATTGATAAAAGCTACCATACTGCCTCTACTTGACTACTGTGACATCGTGTATAAATCAGCCCCAAGTACTGTACTGAAAAAGCTTTATTCCATCTATCACTCGGCCTTAAGATTTACATTGAACTGCCCATATAGGTCTCACCACTGTGATCTCTACATTGGGTCAAACTTAACATATCTTAATGTTCGACGGCTTGTGTACCAGATCTTATTTATTCACGATGTACTTACAAAAAAATCCGCAGACTACCTGCTGGATCTCCTCTCTGTTTCAAAGAACAAATTTGACCTCAGGTCTTCGCTCATTTACCAGCTTCACATTCCCTATTGCCGTACAAAAACTGGAGGAAGGGCCTTTGCTATTGATGCCCCCAGGGTCTGGAATGCTATTGCCAATAAACTGCAACTTGAATCGCTACCAATGAGATCTTCTCTCAAAACTGCTCTAGAGGAGTTGTACACCCCTAGCTGCCACTGCTATTCATTGGCGTAAAATAAAATAAAATGTTTTCGCTCCGGATGACGCTGCAAAGTATTATCTGTATTTTGATTTAGCGTGCTGATCTTAAAGGTGCATTGAAAAATGTGATACTCCGACTGATGCTTCTGTTGTGGAGTAACTCATGCAGCCAGCTATGGCTCTAAGATTTGGTGTTACATGTTATTTATGTAGTTTATTGTAAAAATTCGGTCACAATCCCTATGATCACTGTTACGTTGCAATTATGGCTTTATTTTTTGGTGATTTCGAAAACGTTTTTTGGTTTGGACATGTTTGTTTTGTTGTAGTACGGAGTTAGACTGATGGCCTTAATCTAAGTTTTCTTGTGGTTGTTGTTGTTTGACTTGCATCCCACTGGGATTTTTTGCACACAGCTTTGGTGTGCGGTGCTTTTTTCAGGAATATTTTGCTGTTTCTTTTCATGGATTTTCTGTTTGCACAGTCACATAGTCACTTTAAAATGTTTTCTTGTTCGTGTTTTTGTTTGTTGTGGTTGCACCCGATTCAAGAGCCGAATGGCTCACAGGGTTATACCAAAATAAAGAAACTTAAAACTAAATAAAAAACTGAGACCATAAAGTCATGAGAACCCAGTTAAGTCAAGCGTGAATGAAACCCAGATTCACAACCAGGCTCTCAGGGGGTGCCGGCTGAGCACTCTGATTCCTGAGCTACCCATCCACCTAGGAAGCCTGGATTTAAAAAAAAAAACACTTCAAGCTTTGCAGGGATTTGGACAAAGTTCACATGTGGTCTGCCGGAAGTCAAAATGAGCCTTCGGGTATCTTGCCCCTGGTTGAGCAAGCTCTGCAGTACACAAATGAAGAACTTAACTTACTTAACTATATATATTTTCTTACCAAGTAAAGGCCACTGAACTATTTGCTGTTTTTCAGAGATGACCTGGCCACACATGATAGCTCATCGAAATGGCTGATATCATCATTACATGTGGGAATTTATAGCAGCTGCCGAATAATCTAAATGCATGTTTTTTTTAATGTGGAGTGCAAAACCGGAGCACCCAGAGAAAAATCCACACGACCACGGGGAGAGAGAACATGTGAACTCCAAATATACAGCACGCATCAGGGTCGGAATCGAACCCACGAACTCCTGCATAGCAGGTGAGGGATATAACATATCGTCGTATACTAATTTACTTGCCACTCTATTTTAATAATAGCTTTAATAATCTCAGACTAATTACTTTGCCTTCATTTCCTCAAAGTGCAGAAAACCCAGCGGACGATTGTAATCAGTGGCAGTGCTAACCCATTGCGGCGCCCCAAGCATAAATAATGTATGAGTCCCCCCCCTCCCTTTCAATTCACAGGAGAAATGAACAAGACATACTCTATGGATATAGTGGTATAAGATAAGAGCGTTGCAGACCAGATGAAAGAGCTTCATTGGCGTTTAATGTTAATGAACTTGTTGTGTTTATTAGAATTTAAAGTGGAATTGATATTTGGCGCACCCCAGATTCATGAGTTTTTCGTGACTCTGAGCCCTCCGTGAGCTGCCTGGGGGCTTCAAATGTTTGCTTCATTTACTTGGGCCAAGCGCCGCCCATTCAATTTAAACATAGCAGTACACCCGGTGGGATCCCCTTGTATGGTTTGGGGCAGCGAGCCTGTTCCCAATCTTTCTATCCCCTGCTTTTCACAACCGGTTTGGCTTGCAGTATGTTGGTGGTGTATACGTGTTTCAGAATGTGATCTATCGGTCCCGCACACTGCCTCGATTAAAAAAAACACATTGAAAAAATCAAAGCAGCACAACTTTCCGGAGGTTTTATGAAGAGATCAAACGTTTTAAATGCTTGCATGGAAAGTTTCCACGTAAATTAGCACTTGTCTTACATAGGAATAACATAAAGTAGTCTCCTTTTTGTAATAGGGAATAAAACATTTTTCCAAAAGAACATCTAAGCAACAGGTTACCATGTGTGTTGGCACGATAATCAAAATACGCTAAAACCCATTGCTACACAGCCAAAGTTGAAAGTGTTTTTTTATGATCGGTGTCATCTTCACCATATGTGGAACTGAGGCAACACGTGTGATATTCCAGCGACTAAAACGTTTCAAACAAAACAACACCATCCCAAGAAGGCGGCATTTACTTTAAGTGAAATGTTCCGAGAAGGAAAATAATTCCATTTGAAAGGAGAAGTCTCGCTCAGGTTTTTTTTTAATAGCTCTCTCCACTGCCATCCACTGTGTTGCTAATGCGTAGGTGGTCTCCGTTTTATGTATTTTTGCTGGGTCGTACCGAGTGTGGCGTCTGCCACGATGTCCGACGTTTTGCTTCCACGTACCCGGGGCTTCTTCAGGAACTAAGCCCCCCGGGCTACGTGGGGCAAAACGTGGGACGCCAGGGCGATGAACAAGCGGCAGCGCTGTGCGTCTGCACTGTAAACGATTGGAACAGCTAAATATTTATTGATTTATAAAATGTATATTTATGAAAAAAATATTCGAAAAAACATTTAAATAAATACGGTCGAGCTTATAATTTTATTTTACAGCTCTTTTGTCGTGTCACTGCTGGCTGATGGCCTCTCCTTCCCATGCTGTGTTTGTCATTGGGGTTGTTTGACCATACTTCACCACGCTGGTCAATGAGAGTAGGCAAGTGGGGGTGGAGGACCAGGATCAGTTTAGATATCACTCACCCGTGTGTTAGTTGTGGCCAGTATGGGTTGATAATACAGTATGCAAAACCACTGCACCCAGCTATTTAACCACTGACTTCACATCCCAATTAATGTCGGCACACACATTCACTTGGAAATTCCGTAGAGCATTGTGGGTAGAAGAAAATAGAAGCAGCACTTGGTTCTTCTGTCTCACAAATATCAACACAAATGTTTTAGTCCATCAGCCTACTGGCTGTCCAGACCAATATTATCAATCAGCATTTAAATATACATATAAATAAATGACATTGGTCTAAAAGGCAATAGACCGATAGACAAACATATTTTGAACCTATGTGCGGAAACTATTTTCGCGTCAGAAAAATAAAACTCTTTCAGAGCGTTCGCGTCGAGTCCTGACGGCACAGCTGCTGCTGCATTCAATCATCACGGTGCGTGGACATACACAGCGTGTACACACAGCGTGTACACACATCATACACAGCGTGTACACACATCATACACAGCGTGTACACACATCATACACACATCGTACACAGCGTGTACACACATCATACACAGCGTGTACACACATAATACACACATCATACACAGCGTGTACACACATCGTACACAGCGTGTACACACATCATACACACATCATACACAGCGTGTACACACATCATACACAGCGTGTACACACATCATACACAGCGTGTACACACATCATACACACATCGTACACAGCGTGTACACACATCATACACAGCGTGTACACACATAATACACACATCATACACAGCGTGTACACACATCGTACACAGCGTGTACACACATCATACACACATCATACACAGCGTGTACACACATCATACACAGCGTGTACACACATCATACACAGCGTGTACACACATCATACACACATCGTACACAGCGTGTACACACATCATACACAGCGTGTACACACATCATACACAGCGTGTACACACATCATACACAGCGTGTACACACATCATACACACATCATACACAGCGTGTACACACATCATACACAGCGTGTACACACATCATACACAGCGTGTACACACATCATACACACATCATACACAGCGTGTACACATCATACACAGCGTGTACACACATCGTACACAAAGTGTGCACACATCATACACAGCGTGTACACACATCGTGCACACATCATACACAGCGTGTACACACATCGTACACACATCATACACAGCGTGTACACACATCATACACAGCGTGTACACACATCAT